TCTTGACAAGAAATTGTTCTCATTCATGATGGATTAGAGTGACTTGCCCATGTTTAATTTACAAAACAAGCAGTTATTCTCAGAGGTATATCGATGGCCACGTCTTCAGCCACTAATGCCCAAAAGTTTTGGAACTCTCTCACCCAAGCCCTCCGCCTTGCCCCCTCCTTCCCCTCTTTTAGATCATGACTGAAAATCTTCCTCTTCGAGCGCACTTAGTTGCCTCCTCCCCCCCAGCTCGGTGTCAGGCTCTGAGACTCTGCCCCCCATGAAGGGTGCAAATGCATACAAGTTGTCGATGTTTGTAGAAGGTAATACAATATCAGTTCACTCGATCAGTCCAGTGTAAAGCCAACAGCTTGGATTGTCCTCAAGAATAGTTAAGAGGTAAAATCAATCGCTTCATTCAAATTTGAGCTGTTATTGTACATGCAAATATCCATCGTGATTTGAATAAACTGCCATAAACATTTCTAGCAGAGATCTGCTGCATTTAACTTGTAATGGCAAGTCCCGCGTGCCCCCCCCCCCCCATCCCACCCGCCACATATACACACACTCCCTTTCTCTTACTCCCTGTACAAAATTGTTTTCTTTCCAGTGAGCTGATGGAAAACTAACCGTTGTGGCTGAGAAAATTACAAGGGATGTATTCTTAAGGATATTGAAATAATGCTGTACGCAATTGGTGGTCGCATTTCACCCACAAAATACACAGTCAATTCACTTAACAATATATCCTGTGAGGCTCTTTGAGATGTCTTGAAGATGTGATGAGGCACTACATCAAATGCAAGGATTATTATTAGTATTAATATTATTATTAAGTGCCTTTAGCTGCTGGTCAATGTTTCACTAGCACATTGATGTAGAAACAAGAAATATAAGAAATCATCTAGGGTTCATTCCTGGGCCTGTTGCATAACAGGAGATCAAGGCATTGACACCACAGAAGTTGTTGTCAAATTGCTTTCTTTTGGAAGCTCTTAAGGAGGTGAGCCTAGCTGCTTTGTGTATACCTCCGTGATAGAAGTTGCCATGGGTTTATCTGACAATTACTTCCATCATGTGTTTCTCTTACTTTATCGGATAGGAAACATAGAGAACTAGAAAACTTGCTATGACTAATCATAGTTTGAGTTTGGGACAATAATAATAATCTTTGCATTTGATATAGCATCTTTTCACATCTTCTCAATGTCTCAAAGCGCTTCACAGAATAGACTGTAAAGTGAATTTACTGTATATTTTGTGGGTAAAACACGGCAGCCAAATGTGCACAGCAGTGTCCCATAGACAGTCGTGGATTGAGTAACCAAATTTTTTTTGAAGGAATTATTATCCCCCAGTAAAGCAATTCGCCAATCAACTAACAGCTGGATTCCTACTTATTGCTAGGTAAACAGAGGTGTGTGAAGTAAGGAAACTTGTCCAAGGTTTCGCCCTGCCTGGGAATTTAACCCAGTTCTCTCACTTGTGAGGCGAATGCTCTAACTACCGAGCTACAGGACTCCAAGCTTTGGGAGTTATCTTGGAGTTGTTCTGTTTGCTTGCTACAGCAAAGTTGCCATTGTATGCTTGTAATCTCTATGGCTGACAAGACCATGACTGCCTTAATATTATCTGCCTTGAGGTACTTGCAGCTATCTCTGGTTATTGCTTGCAATATTCGTGTGTCAGCCTGGCTTAGTGGTAGCATTCTTGTCTCTGAGTCAGAAGGTTGTAGGTTCAAGGCCCACTTCGGGACTTGGAATCACATCGTCTAAGATGGCATGATCCCATGGTGCTGTTCAAAGAGAAGGGGTTCTGGGCAGCAAATTCTCCAAATAAAATTGGTCACGTGCTGTTTATAGCTGTGTGCAAACTGGCTGCCACATTTTGCCAACAAAATACACAGTTAATTCACTTTACAGTATATCCTGTGAAGTGCTTTGAGAAGTCTCATCGACGTGACAACAGGCTGTTATCAAATACAAGGATTATTATACAGTGGATGACTGATATGAAGCACTGGTACAAAGTTTCAAAGTAACAATTTCATCACTACTCCCACAGTTCCATTCGCAAAGGAGGTTCCTCTGTTCACCATTTCACAAAGTTTATGTTATTCCCAAAAGAGCTCTAACTTCACCTGACGCTGCTTCCAAAGTGCTACATTCTGCTCCTGTATGACCTCCCAATTACGTTACACAAGACATACACTTCAATGTCTGTTTGTGGGACATTGTTTTGTGCAATTTGAGTGTGGGTATGCTTGTAAAATCAGAGTCTGTTCACTTGAGTGTAAATCCTGTGAAGCGCATTAAGATGTTCTTCCTGACATGAAAGGTACTATATCAAATGCAAGGATTATTATTATTTTCCAGGTGCTTTTATCTATTTTTTAATCAGTGTCTACATGGCCGTTAGTGCATAATTGTCTGTAAAGGTCAAGAGCATAATTTATTGTTGATTATAGTGCTTACCACAAATTATTATAAATGTGTTGTGATTGCAAGTATTAATTTGCTGACACTAAGTAATGTTGCTGTGGACCCCAAAAAGATATTTTTGGTACAGTTGTGACTGACCACAAAGTCCCCCCTCCCTCACCCTTTCATCACAAGTTACCATCACAAATCAAACCACTGGCACTTATGTAGTGCTCTTTCGCCAGACTACGGCACTACCTCACCCCTCACGCTGCTGAAACTCTGGTCCACGCCTTTATCACCTCAAGGCTGGACTATGGGAACTCTCTCCTCGCCGGCCTTCCCGACCCTCCCTCCACACTGCAGGTCATTCAGAACTCTGCAGCTCGTGTACTGTCCCGCACCAGACACCGCGACCACACCACACCCACCCTCGCTCGCCTCCACTGGCTCCCCATCCCCCAGAGGATCGAATTCAAGATCCTCACCCTCACCTACAAGGCCATTCACGGCCTTGCTCCCTCCTACCTCTCCGACCTACTATCCCCCTACCTACCTGCCCGTACCCTCCGTTCCTCCGGCTCCGGTCTGCTCCACATCCCCCACCCCAACTGCCCTACCATCGGTGGCCTTCAGCCTCTCAGCCCCAAGGCTCTGGAACTCTATCCCCCAGTGCCTTCGCCGCCTCCTCCCTTTCCTCCTTCAAGGCCGGTCTCAAGACCTTTCTCTTTGACCGTGCCTTCAGCTCCCCTCTCGACTCTCTACCCCCTCCTCGCTCCCTCCCTTCCCTCCCCCCACTCTGACCATTTCCCCCTCGTTCGGGTCCTGACCCAACTGTACAGCGCCTTGGGACGTCCTCCCGACGTGAAAGGCGCTCAATAAATGGAATCTTGTTGTTGTTGTTGTTGTTATAGCGAGATGTGTGTCGGAGAGCTTAACAGTGATGTGGTTTGATGTTGAGCTGGAAAGAGAGGGGAGGTGACCTAAAACATGTCTTCAAGGAAAATCCATATGTGATTTGAAGACGGACAAAGAGGGGGCAAGACAAAAGGATGAGTCAGGGAGTTCCAGAGATTTGGGACATAGTAGCTAATACCAAAAATAAGTTTCAATATTATTTTGTTATGTGGATAGCATATTGTGTTAGCAGACACGTTAGCAGTTCAATGTGGGATGAGCCAGTGTGTTTCTTCTGGAGATCAACTAAATTAATCTGAATCCCTGCCACTAGCCTGAGTCCAGTTCCTTCTTATTAATAAACCTGTGATGCCCCTTAGGAAACCTTACCAAAGCATAAATTGTCCCTTGCTGCACTATTGTACAGGGAAGAAAGCATTAAAATGTTAATTTCCAAAGCTCCGTCCTTTTCGTACCAATAAGACTTGTTACAAAAAAAGTTCCAAAGCATTTTTGCTTTAAGTCGTCTCCCCTCCTACAACAACTGCAACACCCCCCGAGGAACAGCTGCAACTGCCCCTGGGCTACTAGATACAGTGAGTGACGACTGTACACAGTGAGTGGCTAATGGGCACAATCCCGGGAACCCGCACTTCCGTGTTTTGAGAACCACCGCTCCCGCGTCAGAGCCCTTGATTGACAGTCCGACCCTCCCCCCGCCCACTCACGGTGACTGACGTGCCGCTCCTCCAATCACGAACTCGGAAATCCAGAATTGTCACCGCCCACTATCGTGACGTCACTTACCCAATCGGCGGAGAGAGAGGGCGTGACGCTCCGCCCCTCATCACCGCCCACCAATCACACGGCGCCGACACCCAAAGTCGGGCCCCGCCCCCGAGGGGCAGTTTCATGGTTTCGCTGCTTTAGTGAATGTACGTGAGGGGGAGGGACCTGCGGGGGGGGGGGGAGCTGCGGGGGGGGGGGGGGAGCTGCGGGGGGGGGGGACTGCGGGGGGGGGGGAGCGGGGGGGGGGACTGCGGGGGGGGGGGAGCTGCGGGGGGGGAGCTGCGGGGGGGGGGGGGGAGCTGCGGGGGGGGGGGGAGCTGCGGGGGGGGGGGGGGGAGCTGCGGGGGGGGGAGCTGCGGGGGGGGGGAGCTGCGGGGGGGGGGGAGCTGCGGGGGGGGGGGGAGCCTGGGGGGGGGGGGGGGGGAGGGAAGCTGCGGGGGGGGGGAGCTGCGGGGGGGGGGGGGGGAGCTGCGGGGGGGGGGGGAGCTGCGGGGGGGGGGGGGAGCTGCGGGGGGGGGGGAGCTGCGGGGGGGGGGCGGGCCCTTATTAATAATAATAATCGTGGCATTTGACACAGCGCCTTATCACATCGTCGAGACGTCTCAAAGTGCTTCACAAGAAATACTGTAAAGTGTAGTGACTTGTATATTTACGGGTGAAACTTCTCTTTTTTCCCTCCTGCAAAGGGAGAGAGTGGGGGGAGAGATGGGGTGGGGGGAGAGAAGTAGGAGAGAGGGGGAAGAGGGGAGGAGAGAGGAGGAGGGGGGAGAAAAGAGGGGGGAAGGGATGGGGAGAGGGAGGGAAAGAGGAGGAGAGAGGGAGTGGGGAGGGAGAGAGGTGTAACGTGAGGCGGAGCTCAGAAGCGGTGACGAGGTTTGGTATCAAATACCCAGTGAGCGGCAGTGAGGAGCGACTCGAACTCATTGTTCGCTGTTTGCTCTGCAGCTCAGAGCGCTCTCTCCTCTGTTTGTCTCTCCTCTGTGTCTCTGTGGTTTTACTGCCCCAATCCCCCCCCCTCCATCCATCCATCTTCGCACTTTGCCAGTTCCTCTTTGCTTTTTTTCTCTTTCTTATTTTCCATTCTTTCCTTTTTAAAGCAACCGTCTTTTCAGCTGCAAAACCAGAAGGATAATAAGGGGAGCAAGTCAGAAAGAGTGACCAACAAACAACCTTTTCTTTTGGTTCTTACAAACGCGGAGCAATGTCAGACACCAAGATAGAGACTGCCACCGAGGCTCCCTCCCCCGCTAAGGTAACTCAGTCACACACACACTCACAGTCACACACACCCACACATTGTCTTGTGTTCGCGAACAACAAAAAGAATGTTTGCAAAGTGCAGCGGCGGGGATTCAAGTTGAGATGATTGTAGAAACCGGTCAGTCGGTCTCTCGCTTATTTTGTGCTGTGGCGGCGGGACTGGGATGTGTTGCAAAAAAGGGTGAAACGGGAATATTGGACCGAACTGATTGTCTGTGTGTGTCTCTGTGTCTGTCTCTATGTGTCCCTATGTGTCTGTCTCTGTGTGTGTGTCTCTATGTGTCTGTGTGTGTGTCTATGTGTCTCTATGTATCTGTCAGTCTGATGCAAACTGTTAGGAATAGGAATCGCCACTGACGATGACCGGTGGAAAGTTAACGCTTTTTGACACGGTTTGTTCCTCTTTTTTTCCACTCTTCTCTTTCTATTCAACCTCTCTCCTCTCTTTCAAACCTTTCTTTTTTTCTCTCTTTCTCTTCAGTCTCCTTTCTAAACTTCTTTCTCGCAACCCCGTGTGAAGGGCGCTGTATAAATGTAAGTTGTTGTTTCTCTTCCACCTCTCTCGCAGTTCTCTTTTGGTAGAAGGACCAACAAAGTAGTAAAGAAGTGGGTTTAGGTTGGGGGGGAGAGAGAAATCGGCTGTCAAAAGAGCCTGAGAGGTGGTTGTTTCTCCGTGAAACCACGGGATGGGGAGGGGGGGAGAGAGTTAAGATCTCGGGCTGTGTTGGAGGTAAGTGAAGTTGGGAGTTTTTTTTAGATATAAATGCCGTGCGTTTGAGGAGAGAAAGCGCGTCTTTGTTTCCCTTTGCGGGGATCCAGTCCTCTCTCTCCTCTTCCCCCATTCCCACTCTCATTTGATCTGACTGTGAAACAGAGAGACACTTTATATAAATGTATCTGTTTTTTATAGAACTCATGGCTTGAACTCGGTCGTGTTTTTCTTTCTTTCTCCCACCCCTCCATCTGTCTCTCTCTGAATCTTTAAAGAAAAACATTAAAGGTGATGGCGTCTCTCCCCGCGAGTAACTCAATATTGCAGCAACATCGAGAAACCCGCGATCTCTCCCTCTCTCCGCGCACCTTTGTCGCCTCTCTGTGTGTGTGTGTATGTTTTTCTTTATTTCTTTTCTTTTTATTCCTTTCCTCCCGGATTTCTATTGAAATGAGAAGCCCTTAATTTGGCGCCAGAGATGACCTTCACTCGTGTGTCAGCCCGTGGATAGTGTCGGCCTCTCTGGCTCTCTGTACACATTGCCGAGGGTCAAGTTGGGAGTTTGTTTGTTCGCCTCTATGTTGACTGCGCGTCCAGTTTTATCGGCATTAAAACATCACCTCCTTCATTCCTCTCCCCCCCCCCCCCACCCCCTCACAACCCCCTCCCCTCAGTCTGACCTGCATCATCTGTTCATTCACACAGCGTTTACGTGAGACCAGAGGGAGTTATTTACTTTAAAATATTTCGCGTAGTTTGTGATCATGGTGAACAAATAAATCGATGACTTTGTTTGGTGCCCATCTAACGCACGCACTGTTTTTAGGAACATTTTAATGAGGTTGTACATGTTTGGCAATTTTGTGTTCAAAGTTATTAAACCGAGGTTTGATGCGTTTCATTTCATTACATTATCGTTTACCTCTACTTTCTCTCCTCCCCACCCCCACCCTAATAAAAGAGACCTTTTGGTTATTAGCTGCCGACATACAGAGGAAGGCTTTGATGGGATCATGTCGCCTCCTCAATAGGTTCAGATGCTCCGCGTCTCCTACTCTCTCGCTTTCTCTTGATATTTTTTCTCGGAAAGAGCCGGGGTTTGAGAGTGAGAGGAAGTCGAGTTTGACTTGATATCGTTTGTGTTACGTGTGTGTTTGTGTGTTTTTAGATTAAACTTTTTATATTTTTATCTATCGCTGGCTTTGTTCCCAAACTGATTTGGGGAAAAAACAACCCCCAAAGGATGTCATTGGGGGATCATGTTTTTGACCTTTTAGCAAAAGGGGGGAAGGATGCGCGGGGCCGAGGGGGGAGAGAGAGAGAGAGATGGGACCTGGCAATATGTGGTTGTGGCGTGATGTTGTCTGTAAACGGATAAGGATAAAGCGGATAAAGATTAGGGAAGAATTTAATAAAAAAAGTGAGTCCAGATCGGGCAGCGTAAGGGAGGGCGGAGAGGATCACATTAAGGAGGGAACTCGGGAGATTTGGGGGAGGAGAGAGAGAAATATCGAAGACTTTGGAAGCAGCAAATCCCTAACGTGGGTTGATGTTATTGGATGAAGCAAAGCTGTTTTTTTCAGATTTTCCATTTTGTTATTGGGGCGGATTCTTTCTTTATATAAAAGGCAACTTTTCCTAAAAGCCTTTATTTCGGTTTCAAGCCGCTTCAACTGTGTGCGTGTTTCTGTTTGTATGTACTGTATATATTTGTTTATATATGTATACTGTATGTATATATATATATATACCGAAGGAAAAAAAACATTTCGGATTCGCTACAGTCGAGCGAGAGAGAAAATAGCCATTGAGTCGGTGGAACGAATGTTTAATTTAATTGTCCAATTACTTGCACATTGTTCAATTGCAATTAATGCTGGAGATGCAAAGCGCCGAGTTGTGTACATGTCCCGCTGGGCTGAGGTTAGACCGAGACAATAGGGGCACACAATGCCCTGTGGCTTGGAAACGACCTACATTTAATCGGGACAAAGCGACAGAAGGGCAACACCTCGCGATGGCATTGGGGGGAGGAAGGGCGGACGCATCAAAGCCATTTTACGGGGGGGGGAGAAAAGGAAAGCGCTTAAAGGTGCCATTGATGGTGATATTTTTTATTGAAATAAGATTAGGGTTACTTTGTGGAAGGGTTTTTATTTTAGATGGCACATATTATTCTATGCGACAGTTTCGAAGGGCTTCAGAACCTTTGAGGCAGAACCTTTTTCGATATAAAACTGATTTTTATCTAATAAATTTATTTGAAGCAGTCATTGATGGCTTTTATTTCAATCTGAATTGACATGTAGGCAGTAAAATTGAACTAGACGAAAAAAACTATTTCGTAAAGCAAACAGTGTTCACTTACACTTGCCCCTACTTCTATTTCCAGGAACTCAAAGGTGGAAAAGCAGCAGAAACTGAAAATGGCAAGGGTGATAAACCGGCCAATGGAAAAGCTGTAAGTTGCTGAACCATTTGCCTTCGGTATTACCTTCTGGACAAGTGTTTTTTTTGGTCAAATGGGTGATGTCATGCTTTTTTCCTGCCTTGGACATGATGCCCATATTCCAATAAGCTGCCCTGATCTGACTTGGCTTTTTTCCCCCCCAATTCACTTTGATCAGGAGAAGGAGAATGGAGAACGGGAAGTTGAGGAAAACACAGATGAGGTAGAAGATGAAGAAAGTGAAGATGTTGGTGAGGAAGATGAGGAGGAAGATGAGGAAGAAGGTAAGCCTTTATGTCTTCCTCTAGATTCTTCAGGTGTCTTTGTGAGGAGCATACACGGATGTTGAAGTGAGTGGTGAACGTGTTGGATTGACTTGGGGCAAAGATATTACCAAAAAGAGTGTCCCATTTGCACAGGTCTGAAGTATGGGCTTCATGAATCCTTGATAAGAACTGTGTCCCTTCTATTTGCAAGACTAACATATCAACATTTTCTTTTAATCCCCAGAGGGGAGGGTAGGATGTGCAACATTCCTGGCTGGAGTCTTTGTGGCACTGTAATTGCAGTGGGGAGGTATGATTCAGTGATTTTCAGCCCCTCCCTTGCAGGGATCTTGTAGGAGTTTCCAGTTGGTGTGTCCTATTGCATTTCTTGTTTGTTTCCATTTGTCTAACTGAAAAATGTGCATTCTTGTGGTCTCTACAGTGACTCCAGTGGCCAATTGGGAGAATAGCAGAAGTTTACAAAGTGCGATTGGAATTGGAGTGCTCTTTGTGACCAGTGGTATTGCACAGAGCAGATTGAGACTTGGACGAAATGAAATGGCTGCAAGTCAATGGACCACACATTGTTTTTTTTCACAAACAATGAACAATAGTCAAGATTATATTCTTGAATTTTTCAGACGTCTCATATGCAGGGTTCATTGTTCCTAAACAAGGCTGATTTTACCCTCAAATGAGAGTATGAGGGAGTCCGAAATAAGTTTCAAATGAAATGTGGTTATTGTACAAATGATTACCCATCGAAAGGACACATTTCCTGTACTTATTTTAGGATATTAAACAGACAACTTTCTTTCTCTTTTAGATGAGGAAGGCGATGAGGACGAGTGTGAGTCACCTGCAGCGAAACGGGCGGCTGAAGATGATGAGGTAACTTGTTTCCAAATATATTGTTTTCAATACAAAAAAACACAGAAAATAACCTGCTTTCTTTACCCACTTGTTCAGCTTCACAGCTTGTGGAATCGTGCCATAGGTACCATGACCAGTAAATCCACATGAAAAGTGACTAAATCTGCTTCTCTCTCATTTCTCCCTTCCCCCTTCCCCATCCCCTTCACACTTGTATAACTCTTGATAAAGTGAGTATGGAAAGTAAGAACTTCAGACCTAATATGTCAGTCCTTTGCTACAATGTGGTCGTTCAGTGATGTTTTATTTTTTTTAAAAGTGAGAAAATACACCAATTCTTACAGCTCCAATTTTTTCCGATTCCCCCCAGGGCAAGGTTGAAACCAAGAAGCAGAAAACAGATGGTGCTGACTAAACTGCATTTCCATCCACATTCTACCCCCACCCACCCCCCCATTTTTCTGTTGGAAAAAGTGGTCACCATTAAGTAGTGTACACCAGTACAAGAAAACTGCAGGATTTTTAAAATAAACCATAAAAATTACTAAGAATTCATGGCCCTACTTTCTTAAAATCCTAAAGGAGAATTTGTTTGTATTTTTATTTACATTTTATATTTTTGTACATACAGTTGGAGGTCAGCCAATTTAAACCATGATCTCCGGCGACCAAACAGGGCTTTGATATTCTTCTGTAAAACAGACTTTTACTGGTGGTTTGACCACATCATGACCACATTATCTTAAAGGTAACCTGTAAAAACAATTAATCTGTGCATTCCAATAACCTTGTGTATGTACTTTAGCTGTACTATAAGTAGTTGGTTTGTATGAGGTGGAAAGGCCAAAGATCAAGGTTTTGTCTATGAAATACTGTCCATTATGGCCTATTGTATGTGTGAAACAGTTTGTCCAATAAACCGGAATTTTATTTTGCTGAGTTTTTCTGATGAATCGTCTCCTTGAGATTATTTTTTTGAAAAAAAAGCATTTTCTAAGGAACACCTTGCAAAGGGGGCGTCGGAGGGAGGAGAGAAAACAGGCATTTAGGTGGGAATAATATTAAACTCATTTTGGTTTTCCAGTTTGTTAATTTTAATGTTGAGAAAGAAGTTCAATGAACCTGGATAGGAAAATGAAAAAAATGGTAAGTAGATGGATGGAGGGGATAGATTTACACTCGCAGACTGTTCATGATTTTTATGGACTCTATTTTCAACCAGATTTGATATTTGTATAGCGCATTTCTCTTCATAGTCCTCCAATCCTGGGAATACTTCATTGCCATGCGCATTCTTTGAACGTCGAGTAATAGCTCATTTTAAACTGAAGTGAGCTTTTGTGGTATGAGCGATGCAGCCAACAGTATCATCAGTGAGTTTGTGTTTTAAGCCAATATAATAAGTTCTTCCATCTAATTGTTAAAACCAATTGACTGAATTATGATTCTTTTTGATCAGAGAAATTGTCAATTGCTGGAAGTTTGATTTCACAGCTTCTACCTGCGTGCTCATTTGTCAACCATTACCACTCTGTTTTAATAAACATTCTATATATTTGCTGCTTTGCATTGCTGCACAACATTGGCACCATAAGGTGCTTTATTCCTGCCATGCACCACACTTACTTATTGAGTTGGCTTGAAGTTTGTTCCAATACCACTCGTTTGTCAGATGCCCTCCTTAATTGCCTTTAATAGGAAGTGGGTAGTTGAAACAGAATGAATATATCCCTGATATAAGACTTGACACAATGAATTGATTACATGAAGCCCATAAATAGCATTTTCAGTATGAGATGAGCTAGTCAAGGTTTCCAAGTGTACATTCACACATCTGTTTATGATAGAATAGGATTGATATTCAGCAGTTTTTAGTCACAATAAAAATACTTATGATGTATCAGAAGAATATGATTGCCAAAATTTGTAAGCATCTGTGTTGCACAATGAATAGAATCATCTGTAAATTACAAAAAGGTGTATTGTGGTTTGTTAGTAATATTGAGTGGATTTCATGCAGTGCACATGCAGGTAAGGTTTGGAAATGTATGCAGTAAGGTAACTTTGTAACCATAACTCAACTCTAATAATAAACACCACATTGCAAAAAAAAATCAAGTGCTGATATAATAAGTAAATTATTTAGTAAACGTGCCAAGAATATGTGTGCAATTAGTCAGTTGGAATATTACTGCTTGCTCATTTTTAAAGAATGTACCATGAGAAACAGACCACTGGTTGGCATCCGGAAGCCTGTAACAAGAATTTACATTTGCACTTTCAGATTCACTGCATAATTTTAAACTGCAGTTGTGTGGCTGCACTAAATAGCGATACAACTTTCTAATCTGTACCTCAGTCCCTGGTCTTAAAGAAACGCGAAATACTGCTCCAAGGGCACTGAGGCCCATTGCTACAACACCAACTTGCATTTATATAGAGCCCTTCATGCCGGGTAGCGTCCCAGAGCGCTACACTCACCTAACTCAGCTTGGACAAACTGCAATTTTCCAGTCTGGGCCAAACTAGTGCTGCACTGGGTGATGCCTTCATCCAACTAGATGTATAGCTTTCCATACTCGTTCAGAATGCATGGATAGTTGAGTATTACAAGGATATTTTAAAACCCAGCATAAGCTTATCACTACAATATCACAAAGAAACCTTGCAGTCAATCACTTATGGTCCTTCAAACCTTTACAGTCTGAATCCCGTTCCCTGTTGCATTAAAAATGTTGCCTTTCCCAGCACTTCTCGGTGATTGCCCAGCTTATAATATTGCCACAATGTCATATTTGTACTTTCCGTTAGAAATTTCGGCTCTTCAACTGCAGTGTTATCAGGCCTGATTGTGAGAGTAAACACTAAGCTTTCCCCGGTTGGTGTAAAGTCTGTGCCATATGAACAAATGTGCAGTTGCTAATTTCTTTCCCTGCTTTTAGATACTTTAAAGCCATTTTAGGGTTTTCAAAAATACTGCTGGGTTTTAAATCGTTGCACAGCTACCATAATCCAGAGTGAAATAAGAGTCTAAATTACACAAGTAGTCTAAATATAATTGATATCAGACGAAACCATTGCCAGAACCAATTCAAAGTCATGCTTCTTTGATGGAAAGGAAATGTGGCTCCATAGACTAATTAATTGAGTTTACCCATAGGCAATAGACACTGAATGTCTAATTAACCTTCCCCAAAGTGGATTATTCCACGTGATTTACTCGTGTCAGGTTGGCTTAGATAGCAATCTCGCCTTCGGGTCAGAAGGTCTTGAGTTCAAACCCCTCCCCAGAACCTGAATTTGTGGAATTCTCTATCCCAGAAGGCTATGGATGCTTAGTCCTTGAACATATTCAAGACTGGGGTTGATAGATTTCTAAAGGATAGAGGGATTAAGGGATTCGGGGATAGGGTGGGTAAATGGAATTAGGTTAGAAGATCAGCCATGATCTTATTAAATGGCGGAGCACAGGCACGAGGGGCTGAATGGCCTACTCCTGCTCCTACGTCTTATGGTCATATGCTCTAACCTAAGTTCATAATCTAGGATAATACATTGAAGCAGTAAGGAGGGTGTATTGCAATATTTGAGATGCTCTTGACATGAGACCTTAAACCAAGGCTGATTCAAGTGGATGTTAACACTTGCATTTGATATATCATGTAACTGAAATATTGAAGTGCTTCTCAGGGTATAGTGTAGAATGTAGTGACTATTTTGTAGGTGAGGGTAGTCCTACCCTTTTCCTGTATTTAAAATATCATTTTTTATCGTCTTATTTTGATTCAACAACTTTGCTTCAATAGAATAGTTACATAATTGTAACAATAGGACGGTAAGAGCAACTTTACCTTCAGCAACTTTTGATCTGAAGATCAAAAAAATGTGAGTGTGACACAGAACATGATGAAATGTCACATTCTTCACAGTGTCACAGGATTATTATTATTATTGTCTTTAACAGCATATTAGAGCCTTTTGTGAAATTTCTTAACACGACCCACTTGTGATGTGTTTCATGTTACCAGTCCTTCTGGACAGTGGGTCCAGTAAATCATGTTAGATGACTGAGTGCTATATAAGTTCATAGCCCAAGCGTGAATTTCAGCATGTCAAGAGCAGACTCTGAATATTGTATTAAATTATCGAAAACTCCTCTTCCTCATCAATTAAGTTCAGTGTTAGTTTCAATTATAAGTTTATTTTTAATTCTTTCAAGTTTCTTGTGTAGGTTGAAAGTGAATGAACTTTAAGCAGTTCTTAATGCAAGTTCAAGAAGCTAGATCCTTTTTGGTGGGAGAGATTCAATGGTGGGGGGGGAAGCTGGGTATCTGAAAAGATCTTCTTTATACAGTTGTTTGAATTAAAGAATATATATATATGAATAGATATGAACAAATTTTCAATACAAAAGTCACACTCAGTCTCCACACACTCACACCACACATTCAGTACTTTTTTTTCATAAAATCACTTTCACAAATACATTTCCTGATATCATTTAATCCATTCTGTGTAGTGACAATTAGAACTTTAGCTTCATCAGAAATAAAATGCCCGTGTTGGTAGTGGAAACAATAAATGAATCATTATGTTATTGAGCTTGAAGGTTTTGGGAGCAGTGTGGACCATTAACTGTTGGCTTAATTTATGTAGCTAATGTGATCATGTAATAACATTAAGCGATTCTCCCTGCAGCAAAGGTGTAGCTAACTTTGAAGTAAAAGATATTTTAACTTTTCTTATTAATGTGTATCCGACCATTAAACTGTTGCTGTCTGGCTGCAATTTGTGTTAAATTGTGTCTCGCTGCACATTCCTGTAAAACCAGAAAGGGTGGCTTACAAAATAAAATGAGCAGTCACTGCACAAAGCAAGACATTCTGGGTGTAGGCATAATTCATACTTAATTGCTCAATGGAATTTTTACACAGAATATGGCTGCAACACAAATGATTGTTATTTTATGAAAGGTTACATTGTAATTGCAAATATATAAAAGAAAATGACCCATAAATTAAAAGCGCTATGGACAAGTCTTCTGTCGTTCCTTTGCAGGGAGATGGCCCTATTGGATCACGTTTTAATGATCCCGTACAAGACATATTATACAAAACACAAATTGGTTCAGATTTGATTTCTGTCAAATTCAAATTGATTAACAATGTGGTTCTCTTTTATAGCCTTTTATCAATGCTGTGCCTGGTTCTCAGCACAATGATTTACTGATGTCAATACTTGCGGATGTGATTTACTTCCTTGAATCTTTGAGCTAAAGGTGCTGTAACTTTGCACAGCTTCAAGTCAGTTTGTGTCTCCTACAGGCTCTAACACTCCCTAATTCTCTTGTCAAGGAGGATTGGGTTATCCATGGGTATTGTCACCAGGTAGCTATAGCTGATGTCTAAAAATGCACCACAAAGACTTGTATTTTTGTAGCACCTTATCATGTCAATGTCTCAAAGTTTTACAGTATCAAGTGTGGTGCTTCTATTGTCAAATGGTGCAATTATTTTGGGAACAGCAAGTTCCTATAAACAGCCAGGAGGTGAACGATCAATTCAATTTGGAAAACTGTTTGCCAGGACGACTACCAAGAAAAACTCCCTTTCTTTTCAAATAGGGCCATGGGATTGTTAATGACTGCCTACCCATCGCATACATTTCATATAATCCTCAATTTCCTTTGCTCAGAGGCTCAAACTGGCATCCACTACAGTTCTTGCTTAAATGTTAGACTCTAACAACTATTTGGGAACATACCTTGTGTTTCATTTCAACTGTAACATTACCGTAGGAATGCTTAGAGAACATTTGTGTTGCGTCCTTTAGTGCAGTCTTGTGACATTCTGTCCTGTTTACATTTTCACTAAAATTGATTGGTAACAGGTAGGTGCATTCTGATTATTAAAAGAAATACCGTCACTGATGGACAAGGTGTGTTTAATATTTT